TTCCAGTTGATCGCGGGCTAAGTGACTGGACCCAAGTCGAACACAAGCGACCCCGGCGAGCGGCGAGATAACAAAAGACTATGTCAAACAAGAGGATTATTACAGCACACAAACCCAATATGGCCGCCCGGTCGAGTCGGTTGCGAAGGACGCTTAACTTTATTTGATTTACTTGAACTTCCTTACAGATCGTCTCATTCTCTCCACCGCTATAAAATTATTGTGAACTTAATAACTGGATTCGAATTGACTGGTCGTGAATTTCAGTTCTCTTTTTTATTCAAGTTCAAGTTATAGGTATTTGAAGACAGGACGAGTTTCTTTCAAGAAATGCCATTCACTGAAGGCTACGACGGAGAAGAACAGGCATTCAGAAAGTTCGCTCTATCAACAGTTAAAGTCTCTTCAATCTCGTGAACAATCATAAAAAGGTAAGTCATCGTGGGTCGACAAGAGCCAATCTATCTCGCGCTGTGTTCGTGTTGAAAGACTTTCCGGCACTGTGTAAAGCTACATAATCTATAACGTGATAAATAGCTTTTGGCATAGATTATTCCGCGACAGTCACTCATTGGTTTCTCTCAGGTTGTGTAAAGAAAGCGACGGTTAAGTGATCGGCGAGTTGTAAATAATTCTCGCATTTGGGTGGTACTGGTTTACAAAATAAAAAGTAGAGACTCCGTGGAGTACTAAGACAACAGGCTGGCTTTTATTTTACTCACACCATGGGCTACAGACTCACGGATTATGAGTAAGTAATAACACTTTTTTAAATAAATTATTCTTACTTTGTTTTAAAATAAACTTTTCTGATCAAGTGTAGATTGTCAGGAATTATTATATTGTGCAGTAAATTTCACGTAAATAGCGAACAGGCGATGTGTTTGTGAAATAAACTCTCTCCGCTGCAGTATCAATTCAGTGTTTATTCACTATTTGAGACCTTGGCCCACATCGCTTAAGACACACATTTTACAGGAAAGACTTTCGTTGTGACAATGGTATAAATCATAAACGATATACATTTTATCTACATTTTAAATTCGTGTTGCGTTATTAGATAAAGTTTCCGTAATAAAATATATCGTACGGGTTGTGCACACACTTCTTCTCATGAGTCAAGCATTGCATTATTTTTGTCACTGGACAGAGTCAGGCTGGGATAATTAACAATTTCTTTTGAAAGGCAAAATTTGAACAATTTACAGTTTATCAATAGAACAGACAATAGCACAAAATCTTCAGACCCAGTGAAATTGATGCTTGCATCACATCAAACAATCGACAGCTATTCAGATGACTGGATACACGTCTATACAGACGGCTC